CAGCAGGGCAGGCCCTATGAGGAGAGACTATGGGACCTGAACCTGTTCAGCCTCCACAAGAGAAGGCTGAGGGGGGATCTTGTGGCCTGTTACAAACTGGTCAGGGGGGATCAGAAGGCATTGAGGGAGTCACTGTTCCCCCGAGCACAGCCAGGAGTGACCAGGAACAACGGTCACAAGCTAGCAGAGGGTAGATTTAGGTTAGACATTAGAAGGCGCTATTTCACGGTCAGGGCGGCTAGGGTCTGGAACCAACTTCCAAGGGAGGTGGTGCAGGCTCCTACCCTGGGGGTTTTTAAGAGGAGGTTAGATGAACACCTTGCTGGGGTTGTTTGACCCCAGTACTCTTTCCTGCCATGGCAGGGGGTCGGACTAGATGATCTACTCAGGTCCCTTCCAACCCTAGAAACTATGAAACTATGATCCAACAAAGCTTCAATACTTTCAGAGCTGCAATGGATTTTGAACTCAGATTTTGCCAAAAACAAAGAAAAAATATTTGGGGCATAACATAAACCTGCTTCATCTGTTGGGTTTTGGAATTAGTCGCAATTTAAGGCAAATCCTGGTTCCTTTACTCATGTCTCTAGTACAGGTGAGGTGAGTTCCATGAAAAGGGCTTGGTTTTTATCCACTGTTATATTTTTACATATTAGTGGACTATTAATAGTCAACTGCAAGTTATCTGAAAAATTACTTGTTTTTTCTCCTCCAAATCTGTGGCTTAAGTTTGTTTATGGTTGTCTATCTAGTATTCAGAGCACCAGTTCCATAATCTAAAACCACGTACTGTAAGCAAGAATACAAATAAATAATGTGCCTACCCAGCATGGACAGAGAAGTAAATATTTTCCAGTAGATATAAATGAAATAAAATAAACCTAAACATTTGAGGCCATACAGTGTTTTGATACTGGATCATCAGTCTATCTGTAGTTTTATACATTGATTATAATACATGCAAAGGTGCTTTTTATTTTGCAGGTCTATTCTGTGCAAATTGTTACTTTCAGTGAAATCAGTAAGTTTTCCTATGTAAGCCTGTGTAAGTTGGGAAAAGTGCAGGACTACTTCACATGTTTGCAGCCATCTCCATAAGAATATAAAAACAGCAGTGATAGCTAATTAAACGAAAGTGTATGCAAATATAAATGCACACAGATATTGAGCTAGTTTTATGTTCCAGGAGCTAATGAATCACACAAATTAAAACAAAAAGATGAAGCAAAGTTCTGAAGAACTGTTGCGGAAACATTCTGTCTGAATTCAGTTGATTGAAAGATTTTTAAATATAATTGTCTTGGGAAGAGATACATAGATGACAAAGAAAACCACCCACACCAAAAATGCCTATTTAATAGCAACCATAGGAACAGCCACTGCTTTCATGAAATAGTTGAATATGTGGGATAAGCAATAATTCTCTAGTAAAGAGAGAGGTTGGGAAAGAAAGCTCTTTGGAAATGATGATGTGTTGAATGACATTAGGAGATAATTTGATCAGTGAACATATAAGCGCTACAGGAAAAAACAACATTTTGTGGCTCTCAAACAGGTATGGTAATATCATCTGCAATGCTTTGTGCTGTTCTGGGACTTAACCAAGTGCATTTATTAGATAAAACGCATTGCTTTTATACTACTCATAAGCACTGTGGTAGTGGCATAAGTTAACATTTAAGGATTCTAATTAGCCCACAACATTTTCGGCTTCTGGATACACAAACCTCAAAGGTATATGCCTTTACTGGCACCAAATAAATTTGTTCTTGGGTAAGCTGACCTATACTAGGTCGAAAAACAAGCAAATCCCACAGTAATGTGAGATACAAAAATGTGCAGGACTGTCACTAGCTGAAGGAATCTCATTGTTCCTCTCTTTCTTCACTCTTGGAGGGACTAGGATAGCATTAGAGCAGTATAAACTGTGCAACTGCATGGAGCTCCCAAGGTGGCCATCATGAGCCCCCACGCATTGTGGTTAGGTTCTAGTGTGGATGTGTAAGGAAGAGTACGAGATAGAAACTGAGCCTTTTTAGAGCTGTGAGACTTCATAGGGAGCAAACAGTGTCAGAATTACTTCAATTTTACTTGCCATGTACAGTGTCAGGTACAATGTAGCTCCAGTCTTGCCACAGTACAATATGTATAGTCCTAAGGCTAATGTCAGTGAAGGGAGATAGCCAGACTCAATTCAGTCTGATGTGAGGATGTTCTTAATTTCTGCCTGGAGCTGCCCGCTTCCACTTGGGTGCAATTCCCTCATATCCTTAGGCAAAGAGCATCCTCCTGTCCCATGCTCTCCATTGGTGAGGAGATCATTTATTTTCTTCATCTCTACCAGGCAGAGCTTTCTCCTTTCTGCTGCTTTTGGGTAGGGCATGATGAGTGAAATTCTGGCTGAGAGGCAGTTCATTTTGCCCCGACTTCAATGAAGTCAGGATTTCACCCATGGTATTTGGGTCACACTGCCTGTTTGTCATTTCTCTCTCTCTATTGTAATCTATTTGGAAATAACCTTAGGCAAGCTAGCTCTTGCTAACAGGTAAATGTTATCACGTGAGGCAAGGTAGCCTTGATGAAACCCCTCTGTACTAGAAACATGCAGCTGGGGCTTTAAATTCTACATTACTGATGGCTGAAGAGTCCTATCATGTCTCTGGACCTATTTTTCCACACCCACTAAAGATAGATAACACATACCTTCTTGACAAGAGTTCTTGGAGAGTTACAGTGAAGCTTATTACAGCTAAGAATTACGTTGACTGTTTTTATAAGTACTGACCTGAATTTCCCTGGGCTATGTACGTCAGTTTTAATGGAGTTAACAGCATATTCTGGCCTGTATGTTCCACACCAGACCTAGAAACATAAGAAAAAGAA